AGTGCCTGGCTGCTACAAGAGCCGTGTTTGACAGATGCAATGCTTGTATTGCTGCAAGAGGTGCACATTTCGAACAAAATCTTCATTAAAAAGTTTATAAATAAAATAATTAAAATAATAAATTAAATATATTTTTTTCTTTTTTCGTGATTTCCTGCGAAACAAAGCAAAAAGGAGCATATGTCTATAGGACTTTTTTTCTTAGTTTTTTACTCCTCTACACGCTCCCGAAGTTTTGCCATTTAATTTGGAAACACCCTGTATATATATAAAGCGTAAAACTTCTTTATTGTACTAAACGCGCTTACATGTTTCAGCTCACTTTTGAGCCTTCTTTAGAGACAACACAAACTAACATATATAAACTGTGAATAAAAGTTATCTTGTCATAGTGAGCTCCCCATCATCGAGAATATCGTTACTTTAATTTTTTTGGGTGGGTCGGATTGGATCATATTTCGATATTGCTAGCGCTGAAAGATGTTTCGCCTTTGTGTATCTAGAAGTGTACTTTTAATTACCCGAATTATGTCGTTATAACAAATGAGCGAAATATTTAAAATTTTTTTAAATACTTGTGTAAGCATACAAATATATATTTACAATTTAACATTATATTATATACAATAAAAGGTTATTATTTGCAATAAATATAATTATAAAATGTTTGCTTTCTCATTTTTATTTCTTAAAAAATATTTTATATCTTATACATATATCTTAGACTGCATTCCAGTAGTTACTATCAGAGTTGAAAATTTGTAATTCATGTTACATATATACTATATATTTTCAGTACTGGAAATGAATTTTGAAATACATTTTTAATAATGACATTAAAGTTTAAAAACAGTATTTAATTTAAATTCGGTAATTGTTGAATTTAACTTCCAACGATTGTTTCTACCAGTTTCAGCATTTTTTGTGCAAAAACGCATCGAATGAACCTAATTTTATCAACATTTAATGGAGCTAACTCAATAATTTCTCGAAAAATAACGAAAAAGCAGAATTGGCAACATTACCTCATAAAAATAACTCGTTACCATTACCGTTCTTTTCCCTAAAAAGTAATTCGTTACCGTTACTCGTTATTGATTTCCAAAAGTAACTCGTTATCGTTACCATCACTCAAAATATAACGAGTTGTTACTTTTTCATTGCTTTTTTTTCCTGATACTAATAGAATATTATAGCATTTTTCATTGGCAGAACTCA